AGGTGATCGTTCAATTCCCAGTGAGGGCACATGTCTGGGTTTCGGGCTCATCCCCTAGTAGGGGGCGTGCAGGAGGCAGCAGCTGATCAATGATTCTCATCATTGATGTTTCTCCCTCTCCCTTCCTCTCTCAAATCAATAAAAAAAAAAGAGGGGGAATATATTTAAAATAAATAAATAAAATAAAATACATGAAAAAGCAAGCTGCTCTAGCTGCTTTGTTTGAATCAGGAGTAGACACTCCTCAGCCCCCTAAATATCTGGCCTTGCCCTTGCTCTTCTTGATAGACCTGAAGAACCTTTTCTGAACCCGTGGGGACTCCACAGATGACAGACTGAAACCGAGTAAGAGACCAGACACCTACCTTTTCACAGACAAAAAGCCAAAGGTAAAGTGGATTTCCAAGTCCTATGAACAAGTGGCAAAGGCAGGTTACAAATTACCCTCCCAGTGGAAATGCCCCTCTGTCCCATACGCTCTGAGTGACGTCCGGCTTTGGACAACACTGAGACACCTGCTCTTTCTTCCCCAGCTCCTGTGACACCCTATTTCTAACCCACCTCTCTCTCTGTTCATTCCCAGTACCCACTTCCTCAGAATGCCCTTCAACTACTGGTACGCTCCTCAGAGTGCCACCATTGGCTTTCTTCTCCTCATCTCGCTCCCCATGACCTCCCTTACTAGTCATCACTTGTATGCTGGCGATTCCTACAGTTTTCCTCTTGTCTCTCCACTGAACTTCATCTTTATATCCAATTGTCTGCTGACCATCTCCACCTAGATCAGCGGTTCTCAACCTGTGGGTCGCGACCCCTTTGGCCCTTTCACAGGGGTTGCCTAAGACCATCCTGCATAGCAGATATTTACATTACGATTCATAACAGCAGCAACATTACAGTTATGAAGTAGCAACGAAAATAATGTTATGGTTGGGTCACAACATGAGGAACTGTATTTAAAGGGCCAGAAGGTTGAGAACCACTGACCTAGATGCATCACCAGTACTCAAGCTCAATACGTTCAAAACTAAACTCATTTGTCCCAATGCTTCAAATCCACTTCCTTGTTCTTTATTCTCCTTTTCGGTGACTACATCAGTGAACCCAAACCCAAAACACAGACTATTCTCTCTCTTATTCATCTCAAGGTCCTATCAATTACACAGTCACCTCTCTGTCATTTATTCATTTCTTCATTTCCCGTCATGCCTTCGTTCATTATTGCATGATCTAAGTTCAGTTAAACAAGTTTATTAAATTAAAACTCCTAAACTTCTTTAAACCTTCCTACTAGTATTCCTACAAATTTGCTCCTCTCCAATCCAAACTCCAGATTACCAGAGGGACCTAACTACAGTCCATCCTTTCATTCTCCTGCCTTAGACCTTTATAATTGCTTTAAGCTAATTACTATGCATCAGAAAGAACTCCAAGCTCCAAGGCACAGCATGCCAGACCCTTCGAGATACAGGCCCTGCATCCCTTTCTACCTTTATCTCCCACCACTGTTCCTTTCACAATTTCTATTCCAGCGATACCAAACTACCTGCTACATGCCACTTTATGCCTCCTCAATAATATTCTGTCTGGAATGCCCTCCAACAATAAAAATCTAATTTTTAAAAAAAAGCCAATTTTTATCTACCTGAACCATCCTAAATCTTCATTTCCTCCATAAAACCCAACTCTCTTGCCTCCCCTTGAACAAAAATAATCATCTAGGCCACATCGATGCCTTGTTCATATGTCTTTCACTGAATAATTTGGTTACATTGTATCATAATTTCTCTCTACATGTAAGCAGGCTTCTATTGGACTCTGTATTTCTCAAGGATGATGACTAAGAGCTTGGCATGTGATGTATACTCAATACATGTTTGCTCAACTGAACCCAGCTGTCTAAGTATGAATCTAATGGTTATTTCCAAAGCATCAAAGCACTTGGAGTCTCGAAAAAATTTAGCAATTCTTTTTTCTAGACCACAATCACCTTGGTAGTCAGGAATTATGCAGAAACCCCTTCCTGCCTTGCCATAAATAGAACTGGCACAGCAACCCTCGAGAGGTGAGTGCCAAGCTTGAAGAGAACATGAAGTCACAATGAACACACCAATCAAGGCTAAGAAGAATGAATACACAGCAAGATCAAGTTCAATAACCACATTAAATCTCACTCTAAAAGAGGTAGGCTTATTAGCTCAACAAGTGAAGAAAGTAAAACAAGGAAATAAGTAACATTTGTCTCTGAGACTACACAACAAGAAGATCTAACTAAAATCCTCCTCATTGTCAAAGCTGTCCAACATAACCCACGTGAATTAACAACCTATTCCAACAAGCTCATTTGCTGACATGTAATATATATTCAATACGTTTGTTGAACCCTCATTCCCTGACTCGTCCTACAGAATGTACTGACCCAGACCCAAGAAGAACATTTAAAATCTTCACTGATTCCTTAAAGAACATTTCAGACCAAATGAGTTGGACAGTTTAATAACATACCCTTATTTAGCCAAGCAGCCAGCAGTGTTTTAATTACAGAAGGTGAAGAAACAAGCAGTCAGGACTCACAGATGGTGCCTGATTGTTCTATTTTTCTTCCAGGGGTGTAAACACATCTGATTTTTAAATCTTAAAATGGTGATGAGAACTCTCTATCCAGTTCTATGTGCCATCCAAATCATGACCTCGGCCAAGTTTACAGCTGGGTCAATAAAGAATATATTCACAGCTTTGTTATCAATTTAACATAATGAAAATGATTAAAAAAAGAATATTTCATACAAGTAAAATGTAACATATCAAGGCCGAAGTTCTAACAAAACAAAAGACAAGAATAAAGAATTTCCAGCTGAAATCTCTAACAACTTCCATGTACTTTAAGAAGAAAGTCCTGCAGAATACTATATGCTTGTTCTGAGCTAATCTAGAAGCAAATAATTGCATATCAAGTGAAGAATGATGAGATTTGACTGCTTAGCAGGTTTGACATCAAGCAAAAGTCACTCCTACTGCTTTATTTTCCGAGTAGTACTTATATCATTCAGCTTTCATATGAGGATAAATATCTTTCTTATTTCCAGTAAAAATACGTAAATATAAAGTCTCCTGCCAGAAATTATGTAACTCACTCATGCATCTCAAGAAAGATGATCTTAAAAGTCCTTGAAATTTGAAAGACACAGTAAACTGAGGTTCTTTGAGCAAAGGACTTTGCAGAGATTCAGTATGTTTATTGTACTGTGAAATTTACAACCCAGTTTTATCTCTTTAACAGTTTTAAATTGCCTCTACAGCTGCAGTCAAATATTTTAGTAGTTTAAATCTTAGCTTCTGGATAAAATATTAATAGCTAACATTTGAGAACTCTACCCTTGAAGAGGCACTGTGTTATTTCATTCTCTTTATCCCACATTACTCCTGATAATAACTATTAAGGTGCAGGTATGATCATCATCCTTTTACAGATGAAGAATCAAGGCCCACTGATATTAGTTTACTTACAGTAAGGGGCAGAGCCCAGATTTGAACCCAAATCCAGACTCCCAAAAAAAGGAAAAGGAAAAAACAACCTAATGAATTATTTTTTCTATTTTTTATTTTTATTATTGAGAGTATTACAGATGTCCCCCAGTGCCCCCCCCCCACTACCAACTGCCCTGCTCCACCCAGCCTGCCCTGCCCCGCCCCTGTCCTTCACCACCCTACTGTCCGTGTCCAAGGGCAATGAATATATGCCTATACATTCTTTAGTTAATCTCTTCCTGTTCCCTTTCCCTCTGAGATTCATCAGTCTGTTCCATATTTTCATTATTTTTAAAGACCTGTTATTATACAAAGTTGGGGGGAAAATCCAGTCAACCATTCCATGTTTCACTGAAGACCCTAAATATAAACCCCCTGGTAAAAGAGTACTATGAACCACACTAGGGAAGAAATCTGAAATACCACATGTTAGTTTACACATCCAGGTGATATATTATACATTTACCAACGCATACTGGAAGTCCTTGACTTAAATATCCAATTTGGAAGTAATTTCACACAATGAATAAATATAAACTGTTATTATCAGTATTATGCAAACTGAAATCTCACCCCTATCCCTAGGGTTCTCTCACTCTAAAGCCCTAACCCCACATTTCTGATCTCTATGAGCGTCACCAGAGGAAGAAGCAAAGAAAGACAAGGTGATATTTGTGGTCCTAACAGCTCCAATAATCCATACCTGAAACTAAGCTTCGGTTCCTGTTCTTTCTGTTCGACACCCTCCGGTACCAAACAATAAGATACTGCGCTCTCATTTTGGCCTTAGGGGGTGGACCAGAGCATAGTAGAATCATGTCATAATCAAACGTCTTCCATCAGAGCGGGAGGGGAGAGAGGGCAAAATGATTTTTAAAAACCACTCACTTGAAGAAGAGAAAAAACAGTGCTGGTGGAAACAAAGAAGTGGCCAAAAAAAGAAACACATGGGTCATTTAAATCAGGTTACATGTAATTATTAAAAAATATATTAACAGATAGAGAGTTAATCTTTGTTGTTTTCTTTACATTAGTAAAGTCAGGCTGTTATTTCTCAATGCTGCCCAATACCACACTGTGCCATATACAAGCACTAAAAAACTCAATCAAGAAATAACAGCGAGAGAAACCAAGATGGTGACATAGGCAAACATTGGAAATTGCTGCCTCGCACAACCACTTCAAAAATACAACTAGAAGACAAAACGGACATCATCCAGAACCACAGGAAGGCTGGCTGAGTGGAAATTCAACAACTAGAAGGAAAGAGAAAAGCACACTGAGACTCGGAGGAGGTGCAGAAGTAAAGTGCAGAGGTACAGAGCCACACGCGGAAAGGGGTGGCAACTGAGGACTCGGTTGTCTTTTTCAATCACGAGGGAGACACAAGCTCCCGTTTGCTCTGAACTCCAGTTCTGGGCAAGTCTCTGGGCACCCAGACTCATACGGGGATAAACTGGATTGTCTGGCATCAGTTAGAACTTGAGGGCAGCTTTCTCTCAGAGGTGCTTGCAGCGATTACTGGGGGACACTGAGACACGGGGCCTCTTAGGGCAGGGCTGAGGAT